AAAATTGCCGAAAAGCGGGAAATCTCTGGAATTCTATGGAAAATATGTGAAAAACATCATCGAACTACCATCTTGGAAATACTTTGCTATCTTTTTGGGGATTCTTATGCTAGGTCTTCAACATATATATATATTAATACAATAAGGACGATCATATGTTGAAATTATAAGAACACTCATATATATAATATATATATATGGCTGTGAGTCAAAATTGTGTATGGAACGTTCCGCGCTGTTCCGGACGTATGGAACGAAGGGGCTTCGTAACTGGTCTTGATCCGGACCTTTGGAATGTGATGAAATATAGGCTATACATTAATAAAAATATATGTATGCTGTATACTTGTATATAATATACATCTCAAGGATTTGCACGTTGAAGCTGCTCACGCTGGCTGCCGCTCATTTTCACTTCTCATCTGCGCGGCATCCTTGTTGTACACCTGTTCAACGCAGGTTTGCCTTGCATGGCTAGTGCTCGTGCACTAGCTAGGACACAGCCGGTAGCCAGGGTCACCCATTGGCTACTATGTGAAGCTGTCCACTCAGCTTGAGATCTCCTCCTCTTAAAACTCAGAGGTCCCTATGGGGTAGATTGTGTCCCCGCGTAGCGGCCCACTCCAGCACAGCAGCACATCTTTATCAAAATTGGCAGTTTGGAGCGAGAGTAGCGCAGCAAGCAATTCTTAGACTGCCAGCTGGCAACAGCCAAGCGCATCTCTACCATCAAACATCACAGCTGTGCCACAGCGGGCAGCAACTGTAAATGGTGCAGGCGCAAACCTGCCACAGGTTGAGAGGGAGGGAGGGTTACAAGCAATCCATTCTTAGACTGCCAGCTGGCAGCACCCAAGCACATCCCTACCATCACAATCACAGGGCTTGGGCATAGTAAACGTAGTTTTGCATGTACACACTCATGTATGTATGTGCTCAAGTATGTGCGTACAAATGTAAAATCAGACTGCACATGTTAAAATATATACATATATATATATATATATATATGTATGTATGTATATATATATATATCACAATGTATGGATCAGAGGTATGGAACGGATCCTTCAAACAGGTATGGAACGGGGGTATGGAACGGGGGTATGGAATGGGTGTGGTCCCGGACCTTGTTCCGGACCTTATATTTTGACTTGCACCCATATATATTTATAATGTTGTCCTATTGAAAAACAATACAATAAGGACTAAAACACACTAAAACTACAATATGGTGTGAAAATGTGTGAAATATGTTGGGGTCAGGCACCAAAAAGCGGTGTCACAAAATTGATTGTCGGACTGTACATGTCATCTCTGGTGGGCCATTATGGACCCCAATTCTGATCCTCCATAGCTCTTAGGAACCTAATCTTGCATCAGGATCCATGGGATCCATGGCGGCTGTTTGCTCATTTTTCTCCAGCTGCCGTGGAAGTCTCATGAAGTCTCTCCAAACAGCTCTGTTGATCCGTGGTCATGCGAGGCGGACAGCGGAGTTGCTCAGTGGCTTTGCAGATCTCATTGCCCTCCTGACCAACAAATCCCAACAAACGGTCTGCTTTTGGTCTGATATTGGCTTAGTATCACCAAGAGCTGTCACCCTTCACCATTGCGCAGGGTCCAGGATCTGATTCTGTCATGACGACTCAGTTTTACCAACAAAAACACTAATATCCCAGTTAGTAAGTGGGTTATAACCCCAGTTATAAATGGGATAAGTAGGGTTAATCCACATCAATCACTGGGGTTATAACCCACTTACTAAGTGGGATGAGCCACCAAGTAGAGATTTCAGGCAAGGTACCTCGGATCCCTGATCGGATCAGCAACGTCCTGCCGCATAAAACGTCGGGGGATAGCAAGCTCCGAAGCCGCGGCTTGCTTGATCACCAAATCCTGGCGAGACAGCTACCGGAGGTTCACATGTTTCCAAGCTGGAAAGATCAACACCAATCCCTATGGATCCAAGTACCTTCTTAGGAAGTGTTTGGGGTATAATTTACTATAATTTGGAGAGTTAAGTACCTTCTCAGACAGTGTTTGGATCCTATGGGAATATGAGTCCTGCCAGGATTTGTTTTAGATGTACTTCTCGCACTTCCATTCCATTCTACTTTTGTTTTGAATCTGATTGAACAAATCTCAAGTATCCGGGTAAACTACAATAATTCACTGACCTGAAGTAAGGCTTGGGATAATTCCCCTATACATTCACCATCATTCCAGGGTTCAGTCGAACAGTGAGGTTGCAACAAACAATTAATTACCCAGATCCATGGTCTATTACATATAGTTGTCACATAATCATCCGTCATTATCCCACTATTGTCTCACTATAATCCATCTTAATCCGTATTTTCCCACTATTATACCAAGTATGGCTACTACTTCCATCCTTTCCAGGCTCCTTAAAAGGCGTCATCGCTCACTGCCGATCTTCAAGCACTCCACGAGCACATCCAAATCGGAATTGGGAGGGATTCCTTGGATGCGCTTTCGCAACCCATGACCTTTGCCCCAAAACGATCACCATTGTTTTCCGTTTTTTCCAAATATGTGGGTATCCAGTCAATTTTTCCTTGAACCATATGTGTATATACATATATAATTATATATATATGTATACAGCTACAACCTCGGGATGTGCAAAACGATCGCTCCAAGTTGAAATTGTTTTTGTTTTTTTGCATTTTGCCAAAAAAAACGTAGTTTTCTTTAATTTTTGCTCTTTCATGTTCTTCCCTATTCTGTCATGAAGTTTGGGTTGGCTACCTCGGAGCCCTCACTAACCCCAGAGAGATCAATTGAAAGACCACAACAGAAACCCAATGACTGATTACCTTGGACACTTTGGAAGAAGCCTCTTAAATTAAATTCAAAGGAGTCAAAACAAACTCTAAGTGAAAGAGAAATCATACATCCCCAAAACGTTGCAGAGACTTGGCCTATCCATCGCTTAGATTGAACACAAAAACAAATCCTGGCAGGTTCTTTTGTCGCTTCATTGGCATTTGCCCTGTCCACTTATATAATCTGCCAGGTATCTGAGCTTCAGGATCAATACCTTTCAACAACAGCAAAACACGCACCAATCTGCTCCAAAAAAACACCTGCTCAACTGCTGCAAATTGGATATGATGATGAGAGGGATGCTGCAACAGAACTTGTTTGCCAAACGAGCTTCCCTGAGATGACCTTGCGATTGACCTGTTTGGCATGTTGTACTTAACTTAACTCAAGAGTGTATCACCTTCTTCGCTTTCATTTGATGGCAATTTTATTTCTAAGATGTTCTAAGAGTCATTCCAAAGGACAGTGTGTAGGCAAAAAAAAGCAAGTTAAAAGGTCAAAAAGAAGAAAGCGCAAAAAAAACTCTCGAAATCAAAAAAAAGTGGTACGACCCGTAACAAACATTGTTTTTGTTTCCGAAAAAGCAGAAACATGACACATTTTTGAAGATGCAGGTATATAACCAATGATATGTGTTTGATGGGGAATTTTAGTATCTCAATATTTGGGGAATTTTAGTATCTCAATATTTTTAGTACCATTCTTTTTCCAAGTAAGATGAATAAGATCCACCATCCCCAAATTTCCCATAAATTGGATGTATGAAACATCAATCCATGTGCGTGGTTTATGGCATTGCTATATATTATATAAACATATATAAACATTATGCGGCTTTCCAGTGAATTTTCGAGATTCCCATGGCTTCCGAGGCAGCTGCTGCAAAGGCTTCTGCTGCCGGCACATACAAACGCCGCTGCTCACCTTTTTTATTCGTGGCTCATCCCGCTTAGCGAGTAGGACATATCCGTGGATACAAGTGGGATAAGTAGCTACTTGTGTAGGGTTCATCCACTTCTAACTACCTGTAGGGTTATATGACTACTTACTAAGTAGGATGAACTACACTTGCGGCAAGGCCTTCTGTTATTTTTCGAAGGGAAAATCTACGGAAACTTGTCAATACATGATGTGTTGTAGGGTCGAGGCCAGGCACGAAATTTTCAGCACCCAAAACAAGGCAACGAAACGTAATGATTTGCTGAATGATCTTGGATTTAAGCAAAAAGAGGCTTTTCCAAATAAAATAAGCAGTAATAATTCCCAATAGTTTCCCCAAGCGGTGTATGAACCGATGAGAAAAGACCAAATAGCCTTGAGTGAACCCAGGTAATGCATCATTTCGATACATTCTGTGACTCAGTCGATTTTACCGTACTGTACTGTATGTACTGCACTGCAATGCACTCTTGTGTGATGTCAAGCAATCAAATGCATCTGTGGACCTCGCTGGTTGTCGGTATAGGTATGCGCCGTGCAATGGATGGAATGCATGATGCACCCAATATGCTGCGTGGTGTGAGCACAAGGACCAATGCATGCACATGCATATGCTGCATATGCAACGAATGTATGCATACTCCCTGGCAAGCATTCATGCTTGTAAACATGCAAACATGCATGATATACAAAATTATACTTATAAATGTCTTATATATATATGTTTTGTGCATGGTTTTGCAACTAACTCGTAGATCTTCGGCCGACTTCGGCCACGCAAGCAGCCGCGTTTCCACATTCCACAGGCAAGTTGCGAGGTGTCATTCCAAGGCATCCGCGGTCCAAGCCAAAGAACAACTCCTGTTGACCAACCTCAAATGATATCAATTTCTGTGACAAAAAACACCGCTGTTGTCTGAAAATGGGGTACAACATGGTATAACATGGTATGACTATAACCCAAAGAATATGCTGTATTACAGGGAAAATAGATGATAACATATGATAACCCAAAATAGTTATGCTTTTTCAATATTGAAAATAGGTGATAACACGACATAGACTGGTGTGTTTTTTGGGGAAACAACATGATATCATGGGATGTGATGCTGGGCGTAATACTGTCTCGACCCTCGACCAGCCTGAAAAGTCACGGCACTCCCAACATCCTCAGAGGCTTGGCAGAAAATTGTGGCACGACGATGCGAAAAGCACAGCACTTGTCGATTTGATCCTGTCTCTCATTCTCCGTCTCTCATTCTCATCACAATGATATGAAAAATGAATGCATAGTAATAGATCATAATAATAGGCCATCATGTACAGTACATTGACACATGGTTTCTCCCAGCAATTCTCCCAGCAATTTGCTAACACAGTTTCTTGCAGTGCACAAAATCATCACAGGGCTGTCCTTGGAACTCCAAAGTCTTTTGCCCGTCGCTCCGAGGCCAACTTAGTTTACTGCATGGTTTGCAAGCTTTGGACACTGCCGGTCGCCCGAAAATAGATCGAAAAAAACAAATAAAACACAGATCAAACACATGTCCATTGTTTTTCTTTGGATGTTTATAATGTTCTATCATGTTCTACCCTCTGGTAAACTAACATAACTATGGAAAATCTCCATTTTCAATGGGTAAATCCACTGTTGGGGATCCTTTGTTGGGGAAATTGGTGTAGTCCCACTGGTCTGCCATTGCTGTTTTTTGCCTCTGTGCAGACCAGTTGACTCTGGACATGGATGGTTATCCAATTGCCCTCCTGCGCAATGGGTTCAGGTAGGCCGACCTGAGAACCAAGGTGTCATGGACGGCAGTCAGCCATATGTTTTTGTTTACTTTGTTTATAAGGGAAAAACAAACATATGCATGTTACACATTGTTACTCCCGAATTGGGAGGATTTTCTGCAGATTTTCACTGAAAATTATGGGACCAGAAGTTCTTTTCCAGGACGCAATTTGACCTTCCAACATATTCCAACTGCAGCAGAGAATGGTGCCTTCAGGATTCTTTTCGTTGTTGCAGAGAAGCCAACCTTTTCCTTAGTGTCTGTGATGCGACTTGTCGTTTGTGATGTCTGGTGCAGATCTACAGCTTTCTGTACTGAAAAAACATGGCAATCGTGTTACACTTGAGATTTCGAGAGCAAATTGAAGTGTAACAAGTCACAGTTTTTAAATGAGCAATGTTCAAAACCTGCAATATCGCCACTTTATACTGGCTGGTTAGCAGGAATTCCAATAATGGATATAGTACAACCCCGTATATACCCATATGATAATCAACAAACAAAGGGTCTTGAGCCATCCAAGGGTCCATAGCCTGAAGTTTCGTGTTCTCCCATCACGCTTGAGCCAAACAACTCGGCTGATGCACACTAACACCGTATCAAGTTTAGCAGCTCATTCCGAAGCCGTGGTACAAACCCAAACGATAAATGTTATACAGTTATATATATAATTTATGGAAACTATAGCATATTTAATATGTATATATATATATAATCTATGGAAAATATAGCATATCTAATATGTATATATATATATATATTATATACTATATATACATATTATTATATATATATTATTGTATTATATTATATGTTATATATATATGCTATATTTCCCATAGATACCCGGGCTAACCCCCAGCCGAAATCCTCTTTTTTTGTTGTTCAAACGGTTTCACAGTGGCCTCCAAGAGTCCATGTGCTTCAATCAGAGCTGACCTGAGAGGCCGACGGGGGACGAATTTTCACGAGAAAATCTGGTGACATGATGGGAGATCATAGTGATAGATAGTGATAGTGATAGTGATAGTGATAGTGATAGTGATAGTGATAGTGTTAGTGATAGTGATAGTGATAGTGATAGTGATAGTGATAGAGATAGTGTTAGTGATAGTGATAGTGATAGTGATAGTGTTAGTGATAGTGTTAGTGATAGTGATAGTGATAGTGATAGTGATAGTGATAGTGATAGTGATAGTGTTAGTGTTAGTGTTAGTGATAGTGATAGTGATAGTGATAGTGTTAGTGATAGTGATAGTGATAGTGATAGTGATAGTGTTAGTGATAGTGATAGTGATAGTGATAGTGATAGTGATAGTGATAGTGATAGTGATAGTGATAGTGTTAGTGATAGTGATAGTGATAGTGATAGTGATAGTGATAGTGATAGTGATAGTGATAGTGATAGTAATAGTGATAGTGATAATGATAGTGTTAGTGATAGTGATAGTGATAGTGATAGTGACAGTGACAGTGATAGTGATAGTGATAGTGATAGTGATAGTGTTAGTGATAGTGATAGTGATAGTGATAGTGTTAGTGATAGTGATAGTGATAGTGATAGTGATAGTGATAGTGTTAGTGATAGTGATAGTGATAGTGATAGTGATAGTGATAGTGATAGTGATAGTGATAGTGATAGTGTTAGTGATAGTGATAGTGATAGTGATAGTGATAGTGATAGTGATAGTGATAGTGATAGTGTTGTTAGTGATAGTGATAGTGATAGTGATAGTGATAGTGATAGTGTTAGTGATAGTGATAATGATAGTGATAGTGTTAGTGTTAGTGATAGTGATAGTGATAGTGACAGTGACAGTGATAGTGATAGTGTTAGTGATAGTGATAGTGATAGTGATAGTGCTAGTGATAGTGATAGTGATAGTGATAGTGATAGTGTTAGTGATAGTGATAGTGATAGTGTTAGTGAAAGTGATAGTGATAGTGTTAGTGATAGTGATAGTGATAGTGATAGTGAAAGTGATAGTGATAGTGTTAGTGTTAGTGATAGTGATAGTGATAGTGATAGTGTTAGTGATAGTGATAGTGATAGTGATAGTGATAGTGATAGTGTTAGTGATAGTGATAGTGATAGTGATAGTGATAGTGAGTGACAGTGACAGTGACAGTGATAGTGATAGTGATAGTGATAGTGATAGTGATAGTGATAGTGATAGTGTTAGTGATAGTGATAGTGATAGTGATAGTGTTAGTGATAGTGATAGTGATAGTGATAGTGATAGTGATAGTGATAGTGATAGTGATAGTGATAGTGTTAGTGATAGTGATAGTGATAGTGATAGTGATAGTGATAGTGATAGTGATAGTGATAGTGTTAGTGATAGTGATAGTGATAGTGATAGTGATAGTGATAGTGATAGTGATAGTGATAGTGATAGTGATAGTGATAGTGATAGTGATAGTGATGAGTGTTAGTGATAGTGATAGTGTTAGTGAGTGAGTGATAGTGATAGTGATAGTGATAGTGATAGTGATAGTGATAGTGATAGTGATAGTGTTAGTGTTAGTGATAGTGATAGTGATAGTGATAGTGATAGTGATAGTGATAGTGATAGTGTTAGTGATAGTGATAGTGATAGTGATAGTGATAGTGATAGTGATAGTGTTAGTGATAGTGATAGTGATAGTGATAGTGATAGTGATAGTGATAGTGATAGTGATAGTGATAGTGTTAGTAGTGATAGTGATAGTGATAGTGATAGTGATAGTGATAGTGATAGTGATAGTGATAGTGATAGTGATAGTGATAGTGATAGTGATAGTGATAGTGATAGTGATAGTGATAGTGTTAGTGATAGTGATAGTGATAGTGATAGTGATAGTGATAGTGATAGTGATAGTGATAGTGATAGTGATAGTGATAGTGATAGTGATAGTGATAGTGATAGTGATAGTGATAGTGATAGTGATAGTGATAGTGATAGTGATAGTGATAGTGATAGTGATAGTGATAGTGATAGTGATAGTGATAGTGATAGTGATTAGTGATAGTGATAGTGATAGTGATAGTGATAGTGATAGTGATAGTGATAGTGATAGTGATAGTGATAGTGATAGTGATAGTGATAGTGTTAGTGATAGTGATAGTGATAGTGATAGTGATAGTGATAGTGTTAGTGATAGTGATAGTGATAGTGATAGTGGGATGGCTGAATCATGGAGGTTTTAGGATTACTTATCATTTGCCTTTAGTAATAGTACGTTGATTCGATCAAACAAAGTTGTTGTTGGGGGAACATGTGACCCATATCAAGTGTTGACAGTCACTGAGATCGTCGCTGATAGCTTTCAAATATGACCAAACAATATATCTTCTGGGAAAACCAAAAAAACATCATTTGCCTGTTAGGTCCATATCTCTCGCCACAACAAAGGCCAGGACAACTCGCTGACTACATTGACGTGCTTTGACACGTTTCCTGCAGGGTCCAGTCAACTGTCAAAAGTGAAGTATACCCCAAAATGGCAATTTTAATGGACAAAAAGTAATACAGCCATCTCAATCTGCTATTAATGGTTCGTATTGGAATGTCCCAAAAATCCAAATCCTTTGGCCCTCCTATCCGAACTTAAATCGTTTGACCATCAAGACCAGTCCTGACAAACGTCTAAACTCTGGGTACTCATCCACAAACCGCTGCATCTCCTGAAAACGTCTGAAAACGGAGGGCAAAGAATAAGAAACAGCAGACTTAGCTTCATCGACATGGTCCTCAATAGATTCGATGCGGGCAGTGTTCTTGGTGTCATTCTGATACTTCTCGACCTAAGGCACCCTATAGGGACTTTCTAGTATGTCGCGATTAAAAAATGATATAGCACGATCATATGCATGTCGTATAATGTATACCATCATTATTACTTTATTACTGTATCATTATTATCATCATTATTTAGTATTATTGTTATTATTGCTATATATTGCTATTATTATATGCACATGAATGTACATGCGAGTGAGATCATGATCATTGATCTGTAGACATGGCTTTGTCTGAAAAAAATGGTGAATTTACCCCACACAAGACCATTTACCATCGGGTACACTGATTTACTATGTTAAATAGACAACTTGACAATTTATAGTAAATCAAAAAATCTCATTGACAAGTGGATGGAATAGGGTACACTATTTTCAGACAAAAAAACACGTGCATGTACACAACTGCAATGCCAACAAAAATCCTATCATCACTTCACTGTAAGCCTCCTGAGGATGCAACATACTTGCGGATATTTTGTCCAAGGTCTCCAAAGTTGGAAAACAAGTTGTCGTTGAAGAACTGGTCCTGCCGTCGGAATCATCGTCGCCCAAGAAACCCTCAACAGCCAAGACTAAATTTGGGACTCTCTCAACGTGAGGGATCTCCAAATTGAAATTCTCAGACTGAAACGTAACGTTATTTGATATTACCTATTTATGTGAACGTGATTCCTATTTAAGCCATATTTTCTTAACGTCGGGAACGTGATTTTCACCTGGCTTAACTAAGCCATTAGGCCATGTCAGGGGCTGTTCCAATTGAGCAGTGTGAACTAAATTCCTCTATCATTCCACTTAATCCTGGTTGGTGAAAATCGGGATTCCCCGTTCTTGGATGGTGAAATAATCCCCAATACATGAAGGCTAGTATAATCCCCGAACGAATCATCAACCCTGCGAGGGCATGGCATCTCAGCCACTGCTTCAGCCCATGGCATCTCCTGCAACGGAGACATCACAATGGTCTCCAACTCCCGGTTGATGTCCTTTGAAACCTTGAGCAAGTTTTTGGAAAGGTCATGACAGCGAAAAACACCTGGGACAGTAGCTGATTAAACAAAAAAAACTCATGACCCATATATATATATTATATTATATATTATATATATTATATATTATATATATAATATAATATATATATATATATATATCTATCATATATAATATATTATTATATTATGTTATATTGTATACTAGATATTCATTCTAAAATACTTGCAATTTATATCCAGCTGATTACTAGGTCTAGCTTGTTCGAGAAACAATACCACAAACTTTGATCCCATAATTACTTCATTCCATCAAAGCTATAGTCCTTATGAGTTTCCTGTTTCCACAAATACATCAAGTCATCTCATAAAACCTAGTTACCATACATGGGTTTATCTCAAAATAGGCACTACCAGATTTGATGGTTTTCCATGTTATGATTTTACATCTCAGGGGTATGTATGCACTATTTTCAGACACACCCACATCCCATCATACCATTTGTTAGCCTATCCCCTAATATCCTGTTATATTAGCCCAAATCATCAATGGATATGTTCTCGGTCTTACAAAAATCCGGTTGATCATCTATTTACCCTCACCATAGCTATAATGGGTATATCAACTATTTCGACTGGGCCATTTTCAAGTTCGCTAACTGTAACAGTCATTACCAGAGGGTAATCTATTTACACCTATTTACCCTCCATAGTTTCTGTGCTATTTTTCTGGAGAAAAACAACTGGTTAGTTCATAACCCCCAGTAAATCAGGTACAAAATGGTACAAGCAAAACCCTCTACAATTAATCATAAATCAACCATCATTTATCAACTATGCTCAAGTGTATATCGCAATAGAAAACAACTGGAGTTCGACCACCGTTCAGCGCCGCGCCGCCTTTTTGAGGTCGACCATGTTGTTGGTCATCCCCAGGAGCTCATGGACCATGGCCTTCAACACGTTTTTTAGGCGCCATGATATCTAAACGTTTCTTTAAACGTTATCTGGTTGGTGGTTGAGCCCTACCCCTCTGAAAAATGATGGAGTGAAAGTCAGTTGGGATGATGATTCTCAACTGAATGGAAAAAATAAAAACTGATCCAAACCACCAACCAGTTATGATTAATGTACGTATTTATAATACATATTATTTTTAATGATACATACTTCTTACTAGTGACGCATTTATTATACTATCTGATGATGTATCGAATATTTGCTAGATTGTATCGTATTTACATTTAAGTGTGTCATGTTTATTGGGATGACTAAAAGTACTATAAATTACTTCTACAACTGTATAGACACAAATTATGTTGGGCAAATTTGTCCAGGATTAATCAGCCGGGCACTGCGAATAGCCACTATGTTTAGGAAAGAATTGCAGGGTCGTCATGTTGGGGAGATTCTAATTCTGGTGTGGGACGTCTCCATGCTTTCCTGGCTGGGAATCCGTGGGTGATTTCCTATCACTTTATGTATGTTTTTAATAGTTTGAAACGGCAAACAAATAAAAACATTTGTAATTAAAATATTATTTACTTGTATGGCGTTGTCTGACATGCTCCAGTTCATGATAGACATGTATTGCCGTTCATTGGGGGAAATCCAATTTTCGGACGTGCCTACATGATAAGAAACTAGGAACTTCAGTGGACAAGGATTGATGATGATTGATGATTGACAATGAGTGATGATGACTTCTGATAGCTGTTGATTATGATTCATGATGATTCGTGATGATTGAAAATAATTCATGATACTGGACAATAACAAATGGCATGTGTCATGCCATCTCTGAAATCAAGCCCTGCCTGGTAGGTCCATTGCTGTAGCAACGGCGTAACTGGGTCGTTCCTGTACAGAAACAAAAAAGACCAACTTTATTGGGCATCTCACGCAAGCTCAATGAATCCAACAGCCCCTTTCTGCTCAAGCTGCATGAAGTGCCAGTACCGAGCATGCCAAACACCATGAAACTGTGTTGCTGTTGGCCTTCGGTCAAACAGCAACAGAACCTTAGCTGTGCAGCACAGCTGAAACACACCATACAGTGTTCGAGCCAGCTCTGAGGCCGCCACAGGAGTGGATTCTCCCTTTTGTTGCGACTTGACAATCCCTTCAAAGAGGCTCTGCTCTTCATGGATTCTTGACTGGCGAAGGACACAAAAAACATCAAAAAACCATGGAAGCGAAGCAGGGCTTCGAAAGGACTTCCTCATCTTGTTCACGTCTGAATCAGATTCTGCTTCATATCATCCAGGAATCCAGATTCTGGAGTAGATCAACAAGTACTAAGACGCAGAATCTGAAAATCAAGTACTTGAGATCTTCGAACATCTGATTCAATGTGGGATCGACAGCCATAGTTAGTAATTATCCCCAATTGACATCATGGAATCATTATATATATATATTATATATCATGATATTTTCATTTTACAATATAACAATAACCATACTGAACCATATCATGTACTATCAGACTGCCAGCATCATCAGCATCCCCGATCACCATTGCAGTAACCCCCTAAAAGATAGAATTTGGCAAATTGGGGGTTATTTTGCAATGTGATAAACACAAAAGGAATCTAAAACATACAAATTGTGGCGATCAATGGTTATATCTTGGGGATCATTAACCCCATCATGACGACTATAGTTATATTAATTTATATTGTATATATTTACATTGCCCATAAACCATGGTTACCCTCTGGTAAACGTTAACAGTTTGCGAACTTGAAAATGGCCCAGTCGAAATAGTTGATGACTACCCAGCTAGAAAGCATGGTGGATCTTGCCAGTTCGTTATGTCAACGTTTACCGGAGGGTACCCTCTGGTAAATAAACATAGACCCTGAAAATAGCCAAGTTTCAATGGAAACTAGTCTTCCAACCCCTATCTGCCAGGGTCTATGTTAATTTACCAGAGGGTAATCTGCTGTGATTCCCATATTTTTTCCCATTTTACCGCTATAAACCATGGTTAACCAAAGGCTTCTGGCCTCCAGGCGATGAGCAAGTTGCCTCGTAAGCTCGCACCTCAGGGCGACGTTTTCGCAAAAGTTCGCCAAGACTTTTCGGGTGAAGACATGGCCATATATGCCATATTAATGCCATTTAGATGTAATACATGGGATTAATATGGATTAATTACTACTGAATATATACTGGTTGGTGGTTCCAACCTACCCCTCTGAAAAATATGACTTCGTCAGTTGGGATGATGACATTTCCAATATGGTGGAACAAAAAATGTTCCAAACCACCAACCAGTATATCATAGGAATCACATATTGGAGAATAGTGATGAGCCTTCGCAATGTGTTCCAAAATTCGAACATGGGGCTATTTAACATGATTCGACCATCAAACATAGAGATTTTGACCAGCAACAATAGGGATTTAAATAGTGAATACGGATATAATATGAGCATAGCCACATTAAGTGGAAAGTAGCCACTAGTCTTCCATCCCCCTAGTTAAGGTAGGGTCTATGTCAATTCGGTGGATGGCCGCCCATGACAGTAATTCAGTCTTTGTAGAGGTTCAATGAATTTCACTGGTATAATGGATGACAAGAACCCTAAATATGCATCAAACATGTGACACATCGTCATCAAGTAATGAGCAACTGTAGAGAGCCGGCTCTCCCATGCTGGATAATACTTGGGCTGCAGCGCTTTGAATTTCTCAAGTGGATATAGAATATATAACCAAATATAACCATAGTTGTTTACGGGTAAACGATCCCGGCTTTTGTTTTTTTGAGTGAGTACGGAGTACCATGGTTATACCGTCAGATCGCATCCCCAGATCCAGATCAAGTCACGCGCCGGTGTAGCGAATGGCCGGCAACATGCGCAGCGTAAGGCAAGTGGCTAGGAGACCCTGGCCATCAACTCAACTGAGCAATCGCCGAGTTAATCCGCGATTCGGAAATGGCTGACTTCTACTGGCTTAGAGCGATTCCGATATGATCAATATGATGACAATCACCATCCTATTTCTAGGGGTAGTGAATCAAGCATCATTGGGAACTAATTATATCCTCATATTCTTCATGATTAAAACCTCTATGAATGGTGGTTAAATCCCCACAAAAAAACTCATATCAACCTACAGTGGTGTGTTTTTTTACAGACAAATGCACAAAAATCAATCCAATTTAGCTCCAAAAAAATATGAAACATTATGGAACAATGATGAGAAAATACCGATTCTTCCATGGTTTGCTGTCTTCTTTGCCGCAACTGAGCCGGCCATGCCTCGATGATCCGTTCGAAGACACTTTCCTCGTAGGGACTCCAGCAGTGATGATCCTCCAGCTGCAGAATGTTCACCATTTAGTTGTAGCCTCTGGTTATGACTAACAGTTTGCCATGGAAAATGACCCATTTATAGATGGTATATGATGGTATATGATGGTATATAGATGGTAAATTAAGAGTTTGACCCTGAAAATCACCCTTTTTTAGAGGAAACTAATCTTCCAATCCCTATCTGGCAGGGTCGTCATGTTAATTTACTGAAGGGTAATACATGGGATTAAATACTACTGGTAGGAATTCCATATCGAATGTATTTTCACCATCATCATTCTGGGTCAGTTATGCTAATTCACTACCCTGTTTTATTTTTTGGCTTTTTCTTCGGAGAATTCGAGTGACTAAGCGTCATTCCAGTGAGGTTGCAATGATGTAATTATAATTTACACATGCAGATCATTGGGGTTGGAAGTGATATTGCCATGTGTATATATATATAAGTATGATCAAACGATAAACCATAAAATAAATATGTACTATATGACAAGCAGCAGTTGCCAAGAATATAGAATAGCCCGTTTCCGAATATGTCTGATAGTATATGTCCAAACTGATGGGCAGCAGTGACATTTGAAATCTTTTCAACTCAGCTCGTGGCTGTCCTCGGTCAGGCGGACTGTAGATGGCAAATTTAAGGAGAAGAGGTCGTGGTTCACCTTTGTCATTGGAGTCATTGGCATCTCATCTGTGCCATGATCAGGTTATGTAATGTGGGTAAAGCAATGCCATGTTTACCACCCATGACTGGGAATGGCAACCGTAGCACCATTCGAAAACTGGTGATGACTGGGGGATGGTTTATGATATTCTTTTACCCACATTACCCTCTGGTAAACTAACATATATAGCTATTGAAAATGGCCCAGTCGAAATAGTGGATTTACCCATGAAACATGGTGATTGTCCATAGATTTTTGTCAACGTTTACCAGGCCGGGTACATTGGATGAATCTGGGTCATTCCTCCCATGACGGGACTCCAAAATGATGCCCTCTCGACTTGGTCGCGGACGGCATAAACATCCGCAAAGAACTCTTGCACCTGCCAAACGAGAACACAAAATCAATTCAAAGTACCATCTGGTTATGACTAACATAGCCATGGGAAATGGCCCATAGAAATAGATGGTTTACCGTTCTTAATAGCATGGTGATTTTTCATGGCTATGTCGGCTATGTTAAATAACCAGAGGGTAATGTGAATTGTTCAATAATATCAGCAATATTCGTGTTTAGATCAGGATGGCACATCTTTCAGAAAAACAGATCTTGGTGCATGAATGCAAAGATTCCATAATTACATGGCATTTTGTGCCCGATGCTACCATCCGCTCATCTATCCCCTGCGCCTGCTTGACAAGCTCGTACTCGTCGCAGGACGCCAAAGGGTCCAAGCGCACGTGTGGCACCACGTTGGTGAAAAAGAGATGATACTGAGCAGCGCCGCGGCAGCAAAAGCCACACCGAACAGTTGCAAGAAATCTTTCCCAACTTATGGGGTTTATTATATAAACAACCCGTGAATGTTTTGAATGAGAAATCAGTTGAGATCTGGTTTGACTGTAGGTGCAGGGGCCAGAGTACCCATTCAAGGATGTGTCATGAAGAACGAGGAGGTTGGGTCACTTGCCTCTAAAAATGCCATCAAATGGGCTTGTCTGAAAACCGCTTACTCCATTCCATCCCATAGATTTTCACCATCTTACCCATCAAGATCAAATCAATGGTCATTTCAGGAACCTAAATTGGAGGTACCTACCATATATAATGCCTATTTTTCAGACCTATGTAAGGGAATATCCCCACAAAATATGGCCAGAAACATGGTACAGTACCTCCGTTTTAGGATCCTGAAATTACCATCAAGATCAAGATATGGCACGAAAAAATGGTGGTACCAATTACCCAATCCCATTTCCACACCCGTATCCCGTATCCAGACACTTAAGGTGAAATCCCTCTGGTCAAAAATCATGTGACACGTGGCCATGTTTCTTGCCCACATCAACACATTATCACATGATAGTATGGGGAACAGTATGATTAGGCAAGAAAATTTGGATGATGAAATTGGCATAATCACATACTATCATACACATAACTGCTTGGTGATTGACCTACCCCTTTGAAAAATATGAAAGTCAGTTGGGGTTACTATTCCCAATATATACGGAAAAATAAAACTCATGTTCCAAACCACCAATCAAATATTATAGAACATCTATACCATCCATTAACCATCCATTAACCATCCATTAACCATCCATTAACCATCCATTAACCATCCATTAGCCATGCTTCACGGATCAGAATCATCACACCGCCTCATTGTACTTGGGATTCTTCAGCTCCTGCGAAAGCTTCAGGAAGTTTTTGTTCGTGGGCCTCAGCAGAGGCCAACATGGAAGACTGACACCAAAAGAAAGCAATGGAACCATTGAACCATTGCAGATTTTTGGATCTATGTTTGGTCTTTTTTGTTGGTGAATGGATTGCTTGACCATTGTTCAATTGATGTTCAATGGAAGTGGGTTTCTAGATTGCAGCCTTTGCAGTTTTTGTCGTTTTTTTTTTCCGTGTATATATATATACAAAAAAAACTATATGACATGTTTATACATTTTTGGACTTACTGAGTGATCGTCATTGTGGATGAAAGCACCGGTGCCAAATGAAACAAATTAGCCAGCAATGAAGTTTTAACACAACTAACTAAACCGATTTCACTGACAATTCTCTGACAGTTTCGATGAGTTTCTCAGCTAGGAGCCTAAGGAAGCACACAGCATTCATGTGCCGCATCTTTTCCTGAGATGCAAAAGAATCTGCATCGATGCGCTCCACCAGGAAGACCTGGAGAAATCGAAGCAGGACCGATCGTACTGAGTTACTGGCCCTGGGACTTGGAGAATCATATGAAGAGTATCGCTACTAGTATAGCGATATATGATATGTTGTTGTCAATATGTATTAATTAAGTTATATATATTAATATATCAATCATCATTTAGTGATTATTTGGACAAACCAATACTCGAAACCATGACAAATTGTCGTTCAGAAAAAAGGCTATAGCCTGACATTTCTAAAGTAAAAGCGCCGGATTTCTTGACGCTGGATAGTTGATAGTGTAGTCTGAAACAGTTGTGCACCGCAAATATGTAATTCAAACATGGAGTTATAAACAATCAACATGGTTGTGTTTAATGTGGAACAATGAAACTCATGGGGTATTGTGGAATATTATAAACCAACAGTATTAACAATATGATGGGGGATTCTGAAAAATGATGCTTGCCCAACAATTGGGCCATCAAATTGATGGGCAATATCAGAACTGATTCAAAACGAATGGAGTTTACTTATAGCCCATTTTTGGGCAATCCCATATGTATTCTGGCAGCAACGCTAAACACCTCTGCGAGAAAGTTGAAACAACAACCACGACGATAAGATGAGAGAAGGACAGTGGCATTGACTCTCTTCGGTCCACACCTTTTTTATCTGACTTCAGCAATGTTCTGTACCATCGCGAAATCAAACATCGTAGCGTGGAAGGAAGTCATTGTTGACTTCGACTCTAAGTCATTCGGGGCATCTTTCCGAAACAATTCTGGCTAAGTTGAAAGATGACTGTCCCGCAGATTCCAGATTCCACAGAGAACATATTTTTTCCCCTACATGAAAAGCACACATTTGCAGTATAGCAGTATGTAGTGACTCACAAACTGCCGAGATGAAATCGTGAGTCCCTCATCTTTGGACAATACGTATGTAATTAGATACCAATATATGACAATAGATAATTACATATGGGATAATTACATTTAGATAATAGTAGTAGTAGATCATCATATACAAATAATCAGATATATTATATCTATATATTATATGGTATATCTGGGAATTACTTGGTGGCGTATTAGCGTATTGATCCCCTGGAAATAGAATTCAGTCAAAAATCCAACTAATCACAAAAAGGTTAAAGTGATTATAGTACCCTCTGGTAAACTAACATAGCTATGGAAAATCACCAATTTTTTATGGGAAAATAGACTATAAATGGCCATTTTCAATAGCTATGTTAAATTACTAGAGGGTACATCCTGAATTATCTGATGTCCGACCATATTTATCAATATTTATGAACTAACGATCTGGTGTGAGTGACTATAATTCATCAGTTGTTAACATGTATTAACTATTTAACAGTGATCTAATATCCCATATAGTAATATCCCATTCATATTCCCATTGATAGTCCCATTGAATTACCAGAGGGTAACTGTAATTTTATATGGAAAAATTAACATAGCTATGGAAAATCACCATCCATAGTAGGTAAGTCAACTATTTCTATGGGCCATTTTCAATAACTTTTTCTTAAATTACCAGATGGATTTAACTGTATCAATGGCCATTTCAGGATCCGAAAATGGAGGTACCTACCATATGCAAGGCCTATTTTTCAGGCCTATGCAAGGGAATATCCCTAGAAAATATGCCCTTATATGGTACAGTACCTCCATTTTAGGATCCTGAAATTCCCATTGATTGTAATCGATTACAGATAATCCATCCAACTATGAACGCCCCTTCGCGGCTAAGGCTTGTCTCATCCCCCAGAGGCGTCATAAAACCTGAGGATGAGCTTCACAGGGCTGGAACAGGGAAGCAACGTTGGAAATCTGTGGTGATTATTAATGGTGATTATATATATATATACAATATATATATATGGTGAATATATGGGGAATATTATTATGGTGATTATACAATATACCCTCTAGTAAATAAACATGACGACCCTGCCAAATAGGGCTTGGAAGACTAGTGAAACCACTACAAATTGGTGATTTTCAGGGTCAAACTGTTAATTTACCAGAGGGTATATGGTGAATATATAGGGGGAATCTGAAGTCATGGAGGATCCCACCAAGTCACCATGCGACTGTTAACCTATACTAGTCGTCATGGTCATCAACGACTGTACTGCTTCCTGAAGACCTCGAACGTCGCACCAAACACCCCATGTCCAGTGCCTTGATCATCCATCTGGGTAAATTATAGTATTTCACTGACCTGAATTAAGGCCATTTGGGATGATTCCCCTTATTAACCATGATTTCCAGTGAGGTCGCAGTGAGGTCGTTATAATTTACCCAGATCCATATGTACGGGTACACAACTCATTGTTTGCGGCCGTAAATCCGACCCATCATTTCCGGGGAAAAAAAACACCAAACATCCCAATTTTTTCCCATGTTGGGCAAACCATGTTAAAGCATGTTAAACAATGTTAAACCTCCATGTTAAAGCATGGAAAACCTCCATTTTAAACCATGGTAAACCATGCCAGCCAAGTTAAACCATGTTTTTTCCTCCCATTTTTGCCAGCCACGTTAAACCGATGTGAAACAAAACTCCAAACGGGCTTCCAGGCGCAGCCATGCTGATGGGCGGAGCTGCAAAAGCAGCTACAGGCCTCCGGAAGATGACAGCGAGATATCACCCGTGATAAATAGTAAATTATATATATATTATACCTATATATGTATCTAATATTAAATAACTTAGGTATCACCAGATTTATCATATATATATATCATTTAGGTAGCTGAGAATGATAATCATAGTAATAGTAATTTAATCATGATGATGATAATGACATTACTACAGTACGTGATCATGATAGTAATATTACACATGATTAAGAAAATTTTCATTCCTGCTAAAAAGGGGAACCCATCACTGTACCTACAGTAGATAGTAGAACCTATCATTATTAGTACTAAGTTACCATCAACGATTGTAATCATGACGCTAAATGATATCACTTGTGATATAGTAAGTTACATTATATAATATTTATATGATTTATATGTATGATGCAGGTAGGCGTCAATGATAGTAATAATGATAATGAAAGTATGATAGTATGATCGTATCATCATAGGATCGTGTGATTATCGTATTATAGTATGATACAAACATATAATACATCAAGAGTCACAATTATTGTAATAAATGTGATGCTGACATTATTGCTAGCAAATGCTAGCAAGGGATAATTACAGTAATACTTAGGTTACTTATGTCACTTATGCATTCATCATTATATCCAGTAGGGGAACCTATCAGTTTTGCTGGTAAGTGATCTCACTAGTGATAGTGCAAGTTAAAAGATGTTATAGCTATGCAACAGCCGTGAAAAGGTTCATGATAGTAATCACAATGATGATTATAGTATGATACATAAATATAATACAAGATAAAAGAGTCACAATTGTAGTTGATGATTCAATCAAATGTTATTTAGTATGACTACGATTGACGACTGTCATCGCAATAGTCATAACTATCAACGTCACCAATATTACAATTAGTACTGCATGATCATAATGGTTTCTGCATAATCATAAATGGTAGCATTATCAACATAACTCAACACACTGACTAGTGGAACATCTACTAGACATGATGACTGTTAACTAACACAAGATGGTGACATCATAACTTGAACCCATCAACTATTTTGACTACTATTTGGTGACTGTCATAATAATCATAACTATAACCATTGACAAGCAAACCTGCCATCATATAAACATAGTCATTATAATCATGACTATTCGTAGTTGACACACATCATAATGGTGCTATTGTTGACATGGGTAACATGGTATGTCTGCCGGTATTGCCAGTATTCTCAACATACCATAGGTCATTTTATCAACATCCTTGTAGCCATAATCATGACTATCACTCATGCTATGTTTTCTTATGCAGATTGCTAGCCGATCATGGCTACAGTGAGGGTTGTCACGTTTGCGCTAACCGATAGTTCTGATGGTGGATACTGACTGTTGCAATGAAATACGTTTGTTTTTATTGTTGTCCTATCATGTCATTGAGTGCTTTCCAATCTGATGTTCATCATTTCTTGAAAGAAAAGCAGTGTTGTTATTGTTTTTTTGTTTGTAACTGCTGCTAATAGTAGTATCGTGGCTATAGTCATATTGTACTGTACAAACATTGTAACCTACAACTTACAACCATGCTGGTGGCCACTATGGAACAATTGAAACCAAATGACACCAATTCAGAATATATCTGGTTGGTGGTTTGAACCCCTCTGAAAAATATGAGTTCGTCAGTTGGGATTATGACATTCTCAAAATATGAAGAAATGAAATTCATGTTCCAAACCACCAACCAGATATGCAATGCCAAGTGCACGGGTATCATGAAGACTAAAACCAGCCTTGAAACGGGAGCCGCTTGGATATCCATCGGCCTTGTCCTGGCAGCTGGATTGGAGAGACAAAAATGCCATGTTCACCATGGTTACATGATAAATGAGGATCAATAATGATTATAAAGTGTATATATATATATACATAGTTCACCTATAAACATGAGATTATCTAGTTCACCTATTATTAATCATGATAATAACAGCTGTTCTTCATGCACAAAAAACAATTGTTGTTTTTTCATGTCAAAGTTTGGTGCTTTGATGTGCTTTGTCTACATGCTCATGCATGGCTGGAGATTCCATACACTTCCATAGAACACTGCCCTATTTGATGACAGGAAATGTCAGTCCTTGCTGTAGGTTGTGGGGCTGGCAGCGAGAGAAAGATGTCATCAGCTGGCAAACAATGGCGAGATGGCAAGTGACTGAATCGACAAACTTGCTAAGCGGGTATGTGTCGGATCAAAACAGGTCATTTGCCATATATTCAACCATCCATCAGAGAGGACCTCCGCTTGCTCGTCTAATGTCTAGTGAATAAACTCAAGAGTTTCAAACGACTTCCGGAATATCAATGATGTTCCCACACCCTGGGACTAAATCTTTATTTAAATTCATGTGGGGTATCTAATCAAGATATGAGATATGTCCCAAGATGGGTCAACGACTTGTGTGACTGTTAGAACAGCTCAATGGGAAACTGGTGGAACGGGAGCAGACTTCTCCAAGTGTGGGCTTGCCAAACAACACGTTTGTTTGGGATTCAGCACGAAGCTCTTTATAAATTATAACACACATACATAAAGCCACACACATGGAGATATGTCATGATAAACCATGATTACATAACTTTCAAATACTGGATTGAGGTGCATTTACATGTGCATCTGGCGCCACTCACAAAGGTGCAATACGACCCCTGCATATGCCTGATTGAAACGCAGGCAGCATGTCTCCTTCGCGCAACCTCTCCACATTTCTTTACACTTTTTTCCCTATCAATAATCGCAATAATTCCGGAATCTTTGCCCTGTACAAATGGCATCAAATGGGTGTCTGAAAAAAACGTCATCACTTCCCCTATTTTAGGAGTATTTCCTGTTTTCGGACTCCCAAATGGCATGCAAATTGCACATGCGCTTTGTGGCAGTGCGATTTCACGTCCTCTCGTTTGCAAGCCTTGCCGTTTTGGCCTTTTGCTTCGGCAAAGAGATCTGAGTTGACGTGTTCTGATAGGGTTGTTTCCCATCCTTCTTGATGGGACTCGGTTCTTAACCAAGTGCGTGCAGTTGAAGGCTTTGCTTGCAAAGTGCCCAATTTGACATGATGGATTTTGTTCTTATACAAGAAACATCAACTTGGAAAGAGGCAATTTCAAAACAACACATGTCAAGCAACCGAACAGTCAAGTACTGTGACGACTACACCAACATTGACATCACTAGGCATGGTGAGACCTGTTAGTGACCTGCAAATTGCAGACCACACTTGAAAACGATTGAAAACTCAGTCCGTTCCGGGAATGGGTCCAAATTGGTGAACCCCCATGGTCAAAATGTCCAAATATATTTTTTGATCGGAGGCTCAATACTTAAAGAATGACATCCATATGGGTATGGGTCAATACCTATAGATACCATTTTTAGTGGGATGAACATCCATTTACCAGCTATTTTGATGTTCACCAGGGGTACAAGGTTTTGACACACTGCCATATCTCTGGGTTGGGGGCTAAAATATGTTTGACCCAGCCACTGCGGCGATCTCTCAAGGACCTTTGCTTTCAATGAGCTGCGGCTGAGCACTGCGGCGATCCTCAACTCTCAGTACAGACACTGTCCACGGACACCATTTGCCTCGAGCCAGTGACGATCTGAAGATTCTCTGAACGTGTTCGGCCCAAAGAAAGTGCTAAACAACAAGCGACTTCTAGGACTTTCGACTTGAACATGATAGAATATGATTTTTGGTGAAGTTGCTCTGGGCCCACAATAATAGTTTCCTTGTTGATATCGAAAGGGCAATGTGACGAGACCTGATTCCTGCTGACTCTTCAATTCTTGCAGCGGCATGTGTGTTCACGCCCAATCTGGAATTTTGTTTATTTTTGGCAGGCTTAACGTCTACACGAACCCTGGCCGCAACAATGTCAAGCACATATGGCAGTTCAAGCAGCAAAGCAATGGCAGCGGCAAATGCATGCGAATGTGATTCCTCTCCACCTGCCCATTTGCACCGAAGAATCAACTACATTTTGCAAGTTGAACTATATCAGCCATATAAAACCATATTAAAAAACCATAGAAAACCATAGAATTCCGGTCATTAAAACACATCCAATCACCTTTTCTATGGTTTTTGCTATGGTTTTTATATGGTTTTTATATGGTTCAACCACCTTTTAAAACACATCCACCACTCTCCGAACGCGAGTTGCCTGGTGATGTCAGCCAGCCACTGTTCTTCTCGATGTATCCAGGCGAGGCATCGCACACTTCTGTTGCAACCTCCGAGGGACGAGCTGGAAGTGCAGGTGACATGGTGAATGGACATGCAATATGGGATGATATACCAGTTTCATACATATTATATATGTGTATGGAAAACATATGGTTGACATTTATGAAGTAAGTGAAGTAAGTGAAGGAAGTGAAGTAAGTGAAGTAAGTGAAGTGGCACAATCAACAGCAGCCACACTTGGGGTCGTTTATGTCTGATCGGGGCCGTGGAAAAGTCCTGCAGGGAAAACCATGGAAAACCACAAAAGGGAAAACCATGGAAAACCCCATGTTCATCATGGTGTTGATCATGGAGACAATCAATGTTCATCATACGTTTCTTACTGGTGCTAAACGCAGGGAATTTTCGGGAATGATCCATAATCACTAGCAACAATCATCCCAGCAACCCCCAGCAACCCATCCATTCCCTTCGTTTAGCACCAGTAAGGTTTGTACAAACAAAACATAAGTGGTTGGTGGTGCAATAACCATCTTGAAAAATGATGGAGTTCGTCAATGGGATGGATGACATCCCATATATGAAATGGAACACGATCCATTCATGTTCGAAACCACCAACCAGATAAATGCTGTTTACCCAAACAATTGAATTGTATCTGCTATAGTTTTTTTCATAACTAAATCATACTCCAATGGATCCAATGAGCCAGACACTTCCCAGTCAGGCCATTCGGGTCGGGTCGGGTCACAGAAAAACCCGCCTCTGCCCAGCTCACCTCCTTGGGATCGACCTCAAGCTGGGATGAATCCATGGCATGCCATGAGAATCCAAGCGGAAAGGGATATTTTAAGATCCCCCCGGGAAATTTATGGAGATAATCATTGTACGCATAATTCATCAATTGTGTTTATATCTCATTTTTCCAAATCACTCATCTCTATATATATATATGTGGTGGTTGTCCAAAATACCTTTTCCCGGACAGCCCTCAATCGCTCAGCCAATCGCGTAGCAACCGCGGTACCACAGTGAGCAATCGCGGAAGGGTTTGTTCTTCGTCGAATGGTGGATTTCACATTCCCGCTCCAGCTCAAAGGTACGTGTCTCCCTCAAAAAAATTGTTTTGCCCTAGATTTAGTATATTATATGGTTGGGATTGCATAGGTATATATATATATATTTGATGAAGCTCAAAGCTACCTTGCTGGCTCACTGCCTCCTTGCTAGCTCAAAGCTCAAAGCTACCTTGCTGGCTCAGTGCCACGTAGCTGGCTCAGTGCCACGTAGCTGGCTCAATGCCACGTAGCTGGCTCAGCGCCTCGTAGCTGGCTCAGCGCCACGTAGCTGGCTCAATTTTTTTAGCGAAAAAAAAAAAAAAACTCGCAGAAATTGAGCCGGCTACATGCCCTTGAGCCGGCTCGCCAATGCGTCATGAACCCGGCCAATACATAGTTAGTATTCGTTTTGATGCTCTCACATTCGTCCGCCAGCTCAACGTGACGTAGCTGGCTCAATTTCTGCGAGTTTTTTTTTTCTCTTTTTTTTTTTTCGCTAAAAAAATTGAGCCAGCTCGATGCCATTGAGCTAGCTCGATGCCCCTGAGCCAGCTACGTGGCATTGAGCGAGCTCGATGGTGCTGAGCCAGCTCGTTGCAATTGAGCGAGCTCGCAGAAACTTCCCAATCTGTTAGATTGCATTAAATTGCCAGGTTCAATCCCCACTGATTACTTTAGTACTAGATATGGTACCTCTGAAAAAGCCCAAGGTGACTGTCAAAACATACCCCTGATGAAATTGAGCCAGCTACATGTTTTAAGCTAGCTCGAAAAAATGGAAGATTGTGGATTCCACTATTCAACTTCGTTGATCAGATCATATACATAAAATATAAGTTATGTATTTAATGAATCGTGACAAAAATCTTATGCAAATTCATTGTAATATCATTGCTTTTCTGCTGAATTTGAAACAACTGGTACTGCTACTGCTACTGCTAGTGCTGCTCGTACTACTGTGAATTTTCCGGACCGTTTCCGGACCGCACAAGCTTATTTTGCTCCCAAATTTGAAATCGAATGCGTTCACGCATGGATCCTTACTCTCATTACTAGACTTGCTACTACTCTTAGTACTACCGACGTATTCTTGGGGGGAGCAATCCAGGGCCCTGCGCAACTTAATGCATACCCCTAAAGGAATGCGTCGAAAACAGAACGGGGCTGGTGATCGGTAAGGAGGATGGTAAGATACCCGAAGCTATTACAAGATATATAGTGGCATTATACTGGCAGTCTCCACTATTACGTTTCGAAAGTTCTGCCTTTGCTTTTTTTCCAAATGACAAAGGTCCCACTGAGGGGTCAGAAATCAGTCAGAAACCAGTCAGAAACCGGCCAAAAGCAACCTCTCTCTCTGTCTCCCCTTGCCTATTCCCTCACCCTCTTACCAGAACTCCTACGCCTACTCCTATTCCAATTTCCACTACCACTACTGCTACAGCTACTGCTACTGCTAGTGCTGCTGGTACTACTGTGAGTTTTCCGGACCGTTTCCGGACCGCACAAGCTTATTTTGCTTCCAAATTTGAAATCGAATGCGTTCACGCATGGATCCTTACTCTCATTACTAGACTTGCTACTACTCTTAGTACTACCACCACACCCGCTGCTACTGCACCACCACTACCACTAGTACACCCTATAGGAATTTCTGCCTTTGCTTTTAAATCCAATTGACACGAGTCCCGCTGAAGGGTCAGAAACCAGTCAGAAACCAGTCAGAAACCGGCCAAACGCAACCATCTGTTCCCCTCCCTCCCTCCCTCTCTCTCTCTCTTTCTCTCTTTCCGTCCCTCTCCCTTTCTTCCCTTGCCCTGCTACTAGAACTCCTACTCCGATTCCTACTCCTATTCCTACTCCTATTCCTACTCCTACTCCTACTACTACTACTACTGCTACTACTACTACTTCTACTACTACTACTACTGCTACTTCTACTACTACTACTACTACTCCTACTACTACTCCTACTCCTACTCCTACTCCTACTACTGGTATTACTGTGAGTTTTCCGGACCGTTTCCGGACCGCGCAATTTTCTTTTCTTCTCAAATATGAAAACGAATGCGTTCATGGGCGGATCCTTCTACTAGTGCTGCTACTACTCTCAGTATTACCACTAGCGCCGCTACCACTGCAACGCCGCTACCACTACTACACCGAGGAATTTTTGCCTTTGCTTTTCTCCACTTGACAAAAGTTCCACGGAAGGGTCAGAAATCAGTCAGAAACCAGTCAGAAACCTGTCAGAAACCGGCTAAGCGCGAGTATCGAGTAGTGGTAGCGGCGTTGCAGTGGTAGCGGCGCTAGTGGTAATACTGAGAGTAGTAGCAACACTAGTAGAAGGATCCGCCCATGAACGCATTCGTTTTCATATTTGAGAAGAAAAGAAAATTGCGCGGTCCGGAAACGGCCCGGAAAACTCACAGTAATACCAGTAGTAGGAGTAGGAGTAGGAGTAGGAGTAGGAGTAGTAGGAGTAGGAGTTCTAGTAGCAGGGCAAGGGAAGAAAGGGAGAGGGACGGAAAGAGAGAAAGAGAGAGAGAGAGGGAGGGAGGGAGGGGAACAGATGGTTGCGTTTGGCCGGTTTCTGACGGGTTTCTGACTGGTTTCTGACCCTTCAGCGGGACTCGTGTCAATTGGATTTAAAAGCAAAGGCAGAAATTCTTATAGGTGTAACATAGACCCGGGCAAGCCGGCGGCGGAAGTTTCCCAAACATAAATGACCTATAGTTCAAAGACAACCTGTCCCGACCGTGTCCTTCCCTCGACACTCCACACCTCACACCTCACACTGCACACTGCACTCTTCGCACTCCAAACTTCACACTTCACACTCCACACTTCACACTGCACACTTCACACTTCACAGTCCACACTTCACACTTCACACTTCACAGTCCACACTTCACACTTCACACTTCACAGTCCACACTTAACACTTCTCACTTCACAGTCCACACTTCTCACTTCGCATTTCACACTTCACACTCCACATTTCACACTTCTCACTTCTCACTGCTTCCTTCACACTCCAAACTTCACACTTCACACTTCTCACTTCGCACTTCACACTTCTCACTTCTCACTTCTCACTGCTTCCTTCACACTCCTAACTTCACACTTCTCACTTCGCACTTCACACTCCACACTTCACACTCCACACTTCACACTTCTCACTTCTCACTGCTTCCTTCACACTCCAAACTTCACACTCCAAAACTCACACTTCACACTTCGCACTTCGCACTCCACACTTCACTCACACTTCACACTTCACAGTCCACACTTCACACTTCTCACTGCTTCCTTCACACTCCAAACCTCACACTTCACACTTCACACTTCACACTTCACACTGCGCTCTTCGCACTCCACGCACAGTCCACACTTCACACTTCTCACTTCACACTTCTCACTTCTCACTGCTTCCTTCACACTCCAAACTTCACACTTCTCACTTCGCACTTCACACTCCACACTTCACACTTCTCACTTCTCACTGCTTCCTTCACACTCCAAACCTCACACTTCACACTTCACACTGCGCTCTTCGCACTCCAAACTGAAACTTCACACTCCACACTTCACACTTCACAGTCCACACTTCTCACTTCTCACTGCTTCCTTCACACTCCAAACCTCACACTTCGCACTTCACACTGCGCTCTTCGCACTCCAAACTGAAACTTCACACTCCACACTTCACACTTCTCACTTCCCACTGCTTCCTTCACACTTCACACTTCAGACTGCACTCTTCACGCCCGACACTTCACACTGCTCTAAACGTACGTCCAGCAAAAAAACACTAGTGCCAAAATGGAGAAAATCTGCTAACAAACCCATTTCGCAGCCTTCATGCAGCCACTCCAATACGATTTACGAGATCCAGCTGCAAAAGACAATAGTAAGACGAATGCAGCCACAGCACGCAGCAACCTTGACGCAGCCATTACAATGCGATCTGCAGAGACTGAGTTGCAAAACACAATATATAAGTACGCGCAACGGCGTCGGAAATTGTAGCTCCAAAATCGGATCTCGACGCCAGAGCGAAAAAAAGACGATTTTGAAGCACTTTTTAAAAGGATTTTTAGAAGGAAAATCGCTAGCGCCAAAATGGAGAAAATTTGCTAACAAATCCATGTCGCAGCCTTCATGCAGCCACTCCAATACGATTTACGAGATCCAGCTGCAAAAGACAATAGTATTACGAATGCAGCCACAGCACGCAGCAACCTTGACGCAGCCATTACAATGCGATCTGCAGAGATTGAGTTCCAAAACACAATAGAACTACGCGCAACGGCGTCGGAAATTGTAGCTCCAAAACCGGGGATCTCGACGCCAGAGCGAAAAAAAGACGATTTTGAAGCACTTTTTAAAAGGATGTGAAAAAGGAAAATCACTAGCGCCAAAATGGAGAAAATTTGCTAGCTGGCTTTGGCTAAACAAATCTGTCGCAGGCCCTTCATAGCAGCCACTCCAATACGATTTACGAGATCCAGCTTGCAAAAGACAATAGTA